TATGAGATGCAAGGGAGAAAGAGAGCTCGTCTTTTCATGGAGGGGGTGTCCCTGGGGGGAGAAGGCAAAGAGAAAGGCCATGGAATAGGTGGATTGGGGGACACCAAACAAAGCATAAGAGTGAGATAGATTTCAGGTAAATTGGCATGGAATTTAAACTGTGCCACGTTGTGAAATTGGTGAAAAGATATGAGTTGCCACTTGGCTTTTAGAAGTTAGAAACATGGAAGTCATGCATGATGCTGCTGGTCAGCTCTGCAAGTAAGGAAGCCCTTAGAAATGGCCCTTAGGAATGAAGGACCCTTAGAAATGAAGTGGCAGGTGAAGGAATCTGAAGCAGTGAACACGGGCACAGGGGAAGAGCTTTGGTGATGATTTGAATTCTTGAGATGAAGAAATATATGGAAAGACAAAGTTAATATAGAAGAGGCATACACAGGACACACTGATAATTAAGAAACAGAGACAGAATGGAAGAAAGTAGAAAGTGCACCAGAGATAAGATAAGCTGACAAATCTGGTAGGAGAAAGCAGGACAGGTCTAGAGTGAGGCAAGGGAGACCCTAGGCCACAGGTAAGGAGGAGCTTACTCTTGGCACCTTCTTGTGTCCCAGGCACCTCTTTTGCCTCACCCTACACCCTGCTGGGGCCTGGGGGACAGTGATAAAAAATGTAGAGGAAAAGAGAATGAATAGGAAAAGAAACAGAGGAAAGTGAAACCAATGAATAGAAAATTGGGGGGAGGCACAAAGAGAACTGTGTAGATAAAGAGTAAGTACAATAAAAAGTTGGTAGAGAGAAGGCAAATCAAGACACTGTTCCATTTGAGGAGATAGTCGCAGTGAAGAAAGCACAAGGGGCTTGTTCATAACAAATCGAATAGGGTAAGGTATTCACAATGATTGAAATGGCCCTGGAACCCTGCCCAGTAAAAGTAGGCCCCTTTCCTGGCATCTCATTCTCTCCATGGCTTCAGTCACCATCTATACACTGGTGATTTCTAAACAGGCATCTCCAGCCCAGACCCGTCACATAGGCTCATTCTGGCATGATTCCAAAGATCTTTATTGGAAGATCATATAAACATCTGTATTTGGAGGCTGTGTCAGTTATCTACTGCTGAATAACAAANAGGGCAGCTCTGGGGACAAAGGCAGGTTTGCTATGGCCATGGGGTCAAGAAAAGCCATCGCCAGTTAACAAGTGGCTCTTGGAGGACACACAGTGAGGTGGCCTGTCTGAGACCCTCTCAGCCAGGGGTGCAGGTGATGACAAGAGTCGTGTGGGGTCCTCCAGGTCCAGATGGGCTCCGTATTGACACCTGGAGGGGGTCTTGAAAGTATACTTTATAAACACCAAAAACACGGGGCCGATGGGTGATTTGGCAAGAATGGCACATTCTATAGTTCAATTTTTGAAATGAATTTTGAATTTCTGTTCCTTAGGAACTGGTGAAAACGCATGTCAATTCCTGAACTGGTCTTCCTCGGATCCCTGGAATTACAATGGTCTGTTCCTATTCTGTGATCCTTCGCTGTTCTTGTCCCATTTTCTGGGGGTGAGAGTGGGGGTGGGAGGATGTTGCCCCTTTGTGTACTGATTGCCCAGGATTGTCCATCTTTGCACCCTTAAGTTCTCCAAGGACCTACGTACCAGACTCTTCATTTCCTTGGTTGCCTGTGAGAGCTGCTCCTCCCGCCCTCCGTCAATGCACTTGCTGCCAGTTCCTCATGGTCTGGGCAAGCATGTTTTGTCCATGCCCCTGGCTTCACAGTTTACTGCCTCCGTGTTGCTTGAATCTAGCCAAGGCCCCTGTGCCTTGAGGTCACATCCAGCAGTGGGTGGCCAGCGCAGCAGTGACAGTGGTGGGGGAGGGGTGGTGAGTGTGTTTCTCCTGGGCCAGGGTTCCTCACCTGTTGGGTCCCTCACAGAGGACGTTGGACACAGTGTGCCTCCCGTGCAAGCCCTCTCCCTTCATCGCTGGGGCAGCAGGCCAGGAGCTGCCGGCCAAACTCCAGAATGGCCTCTGAAAAAGCACTGGTATTTTAGCAACCAATACCACTGCTTACACGCATGACCTTCCCTTAATCTATAACACTCAATAACGTTATTAAATTATTTAAATATTATAAATTCAGACATTAGTTAAAATGATTTAATTTTCTGATCAGTCACAATATCTCTTATAGTCATACAGGCAATATTTTATTTACACTTCTCAAACACTTTAAAATGATGATATATCAACCTCAATTTTCAGAGGACAAAGGATCAGCTTAGAGGGTCGGCTATTTGTGTAAATTCACTCACTGAGACAAGGGATTGAACTCTGCTGTGAGGCGGTGTCAGAGCAGGAGGACGGGTGACCAACAGTCTCAGGCAGCAATACTGGCAGCAGCTGCATCTTACCTGTAACACCGCCTCCCACCAAGCAGGCCAGCCATGGTCTAGCTTCTACCTACCTGGTGACATCAGCACATGAGCTCGCCCTTTGTCGCTCCCATAGCTCCCTGCTGACTATTAAGTTATCGCATTCCTCTGTTTGGGCTTCTCAGCATGTCTATCAACTGTGTAACCAATCCCCTGGATCAAATTCCCTCTGCTTTAAAAGTTTAGAGTGGTTTGTCTCTTCCTGTTGGACCGTGATTGATGCAGGAGTCAAATAAAATATCTATGAATTAAAACATGGTTTAGGTACAACCCCACCTGAAAGTGAACACTCAGAGCACCTCAGTGAAACAGAGCAGATAAATACAAGAAGAAAAGATACAACCAGTGACAACAATGAGGCACTAGAAAGCCAACAAGCAAGTGAACAATGTGCCCAAGAGCCTGAGCCAGCAGGTAAGCCTGAGTGACTGGGTTTGATGAGTGTAGGGACCAAGGG